AAGCGATCCACCTCCCTCAATCTCCCAGTGTAGGGATTGTAGATGTGAGCCGCCGTGCCCAGTTTTTGGTTTGCATTCTCCGTCAGGCATGGCCACTAAGTCTCTGTTTGGTTAGCTTATTCAACAGATTTCTTTGCACACTTGGAACAACAACAAAAAGCCTCCTAGCATTTGCAGATGTGTTCTGTGTGTTGGGGCACACCTTTCAACCTTCACCCATGCAGTTTATAACTATGCCTTAGCCTTCACTTCCTGCTTGCAGAGCCTGAAGGTCAGGCACAGGTAAGAGCATAGAGCCCTCTCAAGTCTTTTTAAGCCTATGTCCAGCCCTCTAGGTGTGGGTATGGCCTCCTAGATTCCCAGGAATACACAGAAGCTCTTTGAAGTCCTTATTCTCCCCCAAATAATCTTATTTCCTAGCCTTTCCTCCTGAAGCTTTTCAGATTGTCTCCTGTTTGCCCCAAATGCTATTCCTTCCCCTAGGCATGAGCCACTAATATTTTGACCTTGAAATGTCTCTCCAGGCTGCCATCTTCGCTTTGGAGAGTTCCAAATTAGGCAAAATAAAAGCAAGGTATTTGAACCAGTCCTTCAGGGAGCAACCTGACTAATCAAAATAAACGTGCTTCTTGAGAATAAGGTCTAATCTGCTACCTTCAGTGGCAGGAACCTATATAGGAAATAAAAGATATTGTTTCTGATGCTGCTGCCATGCTAGGGAGGGGGATGGGGCCAGGGCAAACTAAAACCCAACAAAGCTCTCTTACTAAATTCAGCTTTTATACTTAAGTATTCACCTGATTGCTGTCAACTTTCAATGAGTTTCCAGAGTTCCCATAAGTTTGTTTCTGAGTTCTTGCCACCTTATTTGCTGCTTTTGTGGAAGGACAGACTTGTGGAATTTCTTACTCCATTTTCGTTGGCCACATTAAAGTTTTAGAAGCTCTCTTTTAGTCTACCCCTCATTTCGTAAAGACCCAAAGAGGGGAAGTGACTTATCCAGGGTCACACAACAAAGCAGTGGCTGAGCTGAGATTAGAATAAGGACGCTTGACTCAGGCCAGAGCTCTTTCTGCTTCAGGACTTCATCCGCTCTCGGTGTTGAAAAGGAGTCAGGCTCAGGCTAAACGCCAATATTAGGCCAAGGGGCAGCTTTCCAAAGAGTAGGGGCTGAGGGTGAGAGTCCTTGGTATACCTGGTGGGCTTGACTGACTCTTTTACTAAAAGGGAACCCTCTATGAGGCCAGGTTGGAGACTGAGTAATGATGTCCCTGTCTTTTAGAAAAATACAGGCAGAGAGCTTTCAGACTTGATGGGGGTGAAGACGTAAACATTTATCTGTCTGAGGACATGTATTTAGCTTGATCTGTTTCTAGGTCTCATTCCACTCCATTATCAGCCAGGGCAGTAAAGAGCCTACAGCAGAAATAAGGGGCCAGGTCCTAAGCAAGGACTGTAATTCCCTGCCAAGGCCAACAGAAGATGGGCACGGTGTGGCATTAAACCACCACTTTGACTGTGGGCACTGCGAAGATTCATCTTTCAGCTACCTCTTCCCAAAGCTAGGGTGCCTCATCACCTGACTGAATTCCAAGCAGAGAAACACCTCTCCTTTTGGGGAGTTGTGTGTGTCAGAACAGCAGTATTTAGACCAGCGTTAGATTACAGCAGGTTACAGATGCAGTTTCCCAGCCCCCACAGCCCCTTAGAATGTGTGAGGGTCTGACCCCAGAACCTGCTCTTTAGCAAGCTCCCCTAATGATCCTGATGCACACTCAGGCTTGAAAACCACCACTTCAGGACCTTCTACCCAGCCACAGGGTGAGCACTCCAAGGTTCCTTTCTTAAAATTTTGCACCTGAGACGAATGCCACCAGGACTAGGGTAAAGCGAGCGGGGCCATTTGTCTCAGGTGCAAAGCTTAACTGACAGTGTTTCTTCCGCCCCCACAGCTGCTGCAAATTCTCCCAGGGTTGAATTCATCTGGTGCTTCGTCCTCTACTTGATATTTTAGAAGTCAGATTAGACATGGAGCACGGACTGGCCTTGACTAACATATTCAGGAGGCAGGAAAAGACCCATTGTGTTCCGTCCCAGAAAAATGGCCTGTAAGGTTGCACGCCTATCTTCATTGTCCTAAGCATAACAAACGGTGTTGATCCCACACCCCACTGATCTTGGAAGGCAGTAGGTGCCTTTGCCTCTGGGAAGATCATAAGGCCTTCATGCAGTCCTCCAGCCCATACTTAACATGGGTTGGATCCCTTGGGAGGGACCATGAGGGCAACCAGAGGGACGGGAAAACAAGGAGAACAAGGGACAAACACAGGTGTCAGGTCCGTGCCTAGGCCAATTGTCATGCCCAGAGTCAGGTTCCAGCCCATGCTGAGGTTCGAGGGGAATGGGTGGATGGGCGATAGCTGAAGGAACATCTGGCAGGCCATAGGCAGGTAAAATGTAGCTTTATTCAGCAGTGATCTCATCAGCAGCTCTCTCACACTGTCTGCCTTTTTCTCGGTTGTGCACTCCAGCTCTGCAGCTCCTGCCGCCCCCATGCTTGCAGCTGCACTCCCTGGCCTGCAAGGCCAGCTACAGGATCAGCAGCTTAACTCTTTCCCTCTGGGCACAAGCCGAGCTGTGTCCTGGCTCCTCTCTGTCCATCTGCCAGATGGTCACTCTCCCTTACAGGGGTTGGTAGCTTCACTCTCTCTCTCTCTCTCTGGGTGCCAGTGCACACCATGTAGAGCCATGCCAATTCGAGCCCAAGAACATCTGTATAGCGTCAGCAGGGCAGTTATACCTTTTCCAAACAATAGTGGCTTCAAGCCAAATATGAACTTATACAAACAGGTTATATAACGAGTGGAGTATGCACCTGCGACCTAAACTCGCTGAGTCGCTCTGGCCTGGATGTCCGCCCCGGTCTATTCCTTGACCAAAGCACATCCATGTACCTTACAATAGGTGGTCCCCAAGTGTGTAGACCAGGGTCTCAAACCCAAGGGCCTGCAGGAGCCAAAGGGGTAACACTGGCTCGGTGTAATACAAGAGGAAGTGGTGGAACCTATAGCAAATAAGGAGTACAGGCCCAAAGGGGCAGCTGCAACTCAGCTCCAGCCATGCAGGAATGTAAGCCCCGTGGCACCAGAATTTGAGTTTTCAAGAGAAGCCAGAATTTCATATTTTAAAAAATATAAATCTCTCAATGATTAAATGTTGGCAACAAATTCAAATGTCTATAAACACTCTTTGGGAACCAAAGTAAATGTATCTGTAGGTGCGATATTGCCTGCTAGGCACGAGGCTGGGAACTTCAGTGTAACCAGGGCAAGGCAATGTCACAGAACATGGTCACATCAGAGCACATTGGTTCTAGGCCCTGTCACAACTCAGGAGGCCATGAGCATCACCTTGAGTTCACGGCAAGTTGTGTAATGCCAAGCAGCCCATCCCATCAGGCAGGTCCCACCTGGCACCCAAGGGCAAGGGGCCTGCCCTAGCAGAGGAGTTCTTGGGAGACCAGCAGGGATGGGGTTTCAGCTTGGGCTTGAGGCATGGACTCTGATGCAGAGCCATGTTGACCAGGACCTGGTATCAATCTCAGTGCCCACACCAGCCTTTGGCTTGGGAGGGCAGGTCTAGGTAGACTAGGCTAGTTCTCAGCTCGTGGCTGCCCCACACCCTTTGGGTGTCATTCTTCCTCTGTGTTTAGGGGGCAGTCCTCAAGCAAATGTCTGCAGATGAGCCACTCTGTGGGGTTCCTGGCAGGATTCAGCAGGCTTGATCTAGCCTAGTCTCTCTGAATTCTCTCATTTCTTTTTCTTTTTTTCTCATTTGCGACAGGGTCTCGTTCTGCTGTCCAGGCGGGAGTGCAGTGGTATAATCACAGGTCACTACTGCCTTGATTTCTTGGGCTCTATCAATCTTCCTGCCTCACCCTCCACAGTAGCTGACTACAGGGAATGCACCTCCATGCCCGGGTAAATTTTTTTCTTTTTCTTTGAGATGGAGTCTCATTCTATTGCTCAGGGTGAAGTGAAGTGGCATATCTCAGCTCACTGCAACCTCTGCCTTCTGGGTTCAAGCAATTCTCTTGCTTCAGCCTCCTGAGTAGCTGGGATTATAGGGGTGTGCCACCATGCCTAGCTAGTTTTTGTATTTTTAGTAGACAGGGTTTCACCATATTGGCCGGGCAGGGTCTCAAACTCCTGACGTCAGGTGATCTGCCTGCCTCGCCTACCAAAGTGCTGGGATTACAGGCATGAGCCACCACACCTGGCCAAAGGATTTAGTAGAGACAGGGGTCTCACTATGTTGGCCAGGCTAGTCTTAAACTCCTGAGCTCAAGCGATCCTCTTGCCTTGGCTTCCCAAAGTACTTGGATTATAGGCATGAGCCATGTCTAGCTAGTCCTCTCTTTTCTAAACTTCAACACAGGAGGTTGGAAAGGGAGTGGAGACCCCGGATGCAGGGCAAGCTCTAGCTTCTGGAGCTTTCACCATAATTCTTAGAAACTCTTATGAATTCTCTGTCTTCACACCACCAACCAAGGGGCACAGGGTTCCCAGAGACCAGGGCCCAGAGCCCCTTTCAGCCTAGAAGCACACTGATGGGAGGCACTGGTCTTGTGACTGTCTGGTTTGTTCCCATCCTCTCTCTGCCCCCCACCAAGGGGCATCAGGAATTAGCATACACCCTTCCTCCCACCCGGGACCTGGGTGAAGAACTACATTCCTCCCACCACACCTTTCAGTGCACTTCACTGCACCTGCACCCAACCAAGACCCCTTTGCCTTTCTGGTGTCTGGGCCCCCTGCCTGGATTTCGGGAGCCTCCCTTCCCATGTCCTTACAGCCCAGTCCCCAAAAACCAGCGTAAGCTCACGGTTTCCTGTGCACAAATTTCTACCTAAGGTTACGTGCATTTTCACTGGCTGATAAGGCCAGAACTCTGAGCCACAGGGCAGAATCAAGCAGAAGAAAACAAGCTGGTACCAGAAAGACATTTCCAGAACATTCCAGAGCTGGCTGACTTTTAATGTGGAAACAAGTTTTGGCTACAAACATTCAGGTTTAAGGCACATTCCACAAATTACAAGCAGCCCTGTCACTGATAGGGAACTGGCTTTGTTTTCATGGTTTCTGCATGGAAGATGGAAAGAATGACTTTCTGGCCCCCCCCTTTTTTTTTTTCTAAAAAGGAGTGAATTTGGCAATAACAAAGCTCGTGACACATTCACCAGACACACAGGCACGCCTCCCTTTTGTTCCTCAGCGAGGACACGGCGCTTTACCACCCAGTCACCCTCACCAGTAATGTGTACACAGCAAACACATTTGTGCTTGTATGTGTCTGTCTGGCAATGATTGTAAGAAAATATGCCTCCAAATAAAAATATACAATTACATGACGAAATGAAGCCAAGTCTTAGCCACAGCAAAAGGGAACGATTGCATGAGTCAGAAAAATGAAACGTCTACTTCAGCAGCAAGAGGCTGTGAGGGATGGGGTAGAAAAGGCATCCTGAGAGAGTTCTAGACCGACCCAGGTCCTGTGGCACAACATATGGGTGAGGGGGTGGAGGACAGGCCTGGGCTCTAGGATGGTGCATCTCGGGGCTATTTGTGGATTTGTTAGAAACAGACATTCTTTTGGCCTTTTCCTGGCACCGCTGTTGCCGGCACATGGGCAGAAGTGAGCCACCAGTCACTGTTCAGTCATTGCCATCACAGATCTTCAGCAGAATCTTCCGGTAATCCCCTGAAGTATCTCCCTGGCCACAGAAACAAGGAAGATATTCGTTAAGGGAGGCATGGTTGCTTGTAGCCTCTGGCTCCTGATTTTCTGCCCTGAGTGCCCTTATAGGGAGGAAGCCCCATCCTGGGAAATTTTCCCCTGCTGCAGGTCCTGGAGCAGGCGCAACAGATCTTAGATAACACAGTTTCACCTTCCCCAGGTCCCCATTAGAAGATGGAAAGCTGCACTCACCCCAACTATCCAAGTCAAATGAATACCCACAAAAAAAATTATAATCGTCCTAAAAACCACTTCCCAGGGCTAACCAATACTGCTTTTCCCAGTGCATTTATGCTGCCTTAAATTGCGGTTACCAGTTTAATGCAACAGTCTTCTGCTCAGGAAACGCAACCTCCTCACACATGACTGTCCAGTGAAGGGCTCCAGCCTCCCAGGTCCCATGGATCTCTCCTCTGTCTGAGGCCACTGCACTTACTCTAAGAGTGCAGGCTCAGCTTGGCTCATTTCTAATCATTTCCTTCCACCCTAAGCAACTTGAGAGCAAGGCATGTAGCTTCTTCCAGATGTCCACAGCCCGCTGGCATGCAGGAGATACTCTGTAAAGAATTACTAATTCTCTTCTGTTTTTTGTTTTTTTTTTTTTGAGATAAAGTCTCAGTCTGTCACCCAGGCTAGAGTGCAATGGAACAATCCAAGCTCAATAAATCTCCGCCTCCCAGGTTCAAGCAATCCTCCTGCCTCAGCCTCCCAAGTAGCTGGGATTACAGGCATGCTCCACTATGCCCAGCTAATTTTGTATTTTTAGTAGAGAGTGTTTCACCATGTCGGCCAAGCTGGTCTCGAACTCATGACCTCAAGTGATCCACCCACCTCAGCCTCCCAAAGTGCTGGGATTATAGGCATGAGCCACTGTGCCCAGCCTAGAATTACTAATTCTCTAGCAACAGCTTCATTCATACAGCCAGGTAAAGGAAGTGAGCTTCTCGTGATGACATGCCCACCATCATCAAATGCTACTGAGTCTAAGGTGGGGATGTGGTCCCATGGTGCAATTTCAAGGCTTACATGAGTTCAGAATTGGAGTGTTAGACCAGGCAGTTGAATATATACTTTGTCAGACTTGCTCTGCTGCATAGTGATACACAGTGGCTAGTGTTAAACAGACACTTGACCTGCACTGCCTCACTCAATACTCACTACTTTCTTGGGAAGGAATGATTATTTTCTCATTTTAAAGACAATGGAGCTGGGGTGCAGGGAGGTTTAAGGAAGCTGTTCAAGGTCACTCAGTTGGCAAATAGAAAAGCCGGACTCCAAGTGGCGTGATCCCCAGGGCCCTTGCTCTGAATGGCCTTCCTATGTGTCCTACGTCATAAACCTGAGTGCAAGAAGTGCTTAGTCAGGTCAGCACATGAGTTCTCACTGACAGATTGTGGAATCACAGGGTAGCCGGAACACTGAAGGTCAGGGTCAAAGTTGGGGAGGTCCTGAGTATTCTCTGATGCTGCTGGGGGACGCAAGGTGGGGGCGACAGCAAGGTCATGACCCACCTGCCCTCAGAAGCTTATAATCTGTTTAGGGGCAACGGGATAAGCAAGTCCAAGGTCCACAAACAAGATGCCCATACATGGCACAGGGGCCAAGCATATGGCCACTTCAAGGAGGAAAGGTCCACAGGTGACTGGGATGCCAAAAGGAAGCCCAGTCTGGCTGTAGCAGGCCCGTACCGAGATGTCGTGGTACAGCGACTTGCCATACATCCGCTTATACTCCGATCTGATGTCCAGTAGGTCAGTCTCGCTGCGAGACACCATGATGCGAATCAGGGTCCGGTCCTTTGTTCCTGCACCCTAAAGAGAGTCCACCCAAGAGCATGAGCATCAGGCTTCCTCACTTCCCACCCGCCCTGGGCCCTCCAGTCAGTCCCCTCCCAACCCAGGTTCTCAGAACTCTCGGCTGAGATTTAGCTCTCCCCAGGCCTACTACCCTCAGCCCTTGGCAAAGGCGAGGCTAAGGCATCCGGATCTACACATGCAAGTTACTTACCCTCATGGCCTTGTTGAGCCTCTCCGCAAAGAAGGCTGGGGTATTCTTGAGACATTTCACTAGAAGAGAGAAACACGGCATAACCAGATCTGCAGAAAATTCTCAGCCTAAGCCAGGCATGGAGTCTACAAGTGTCCTCTTAGAGGCCCAGATGTCAAACCCATCACTGCATCCATCTTTTCTCCTCCTCCTCCTGTTCCAGACTCAACTATCCTACGATCTTGGCTCCAGTTCTTTGGAACAGTAACACGCAGAAACAGGATACCAACCCACCCTCTTTCCTGGCAACCACTGTGGTGAAAAAGCAAGAGCCAGAGGGGAGGGGGTCTTCGTGAGGCTAGGAGCTGCGCAGGGAAGCCATGTGGATGGTGATGAGGAACTGTGTTGCTGCTCAGGCAGGAGGGGCAGACTGGAGAGGCTGTGCCCTTCATGGAGAAACCGTGCTGAGTGGAATGAGCATCTCCCTTGGCTGCCCAGGCCACAAGACCTACTGTGGGGGCAGGCAGGGAAAGGCGGATTTTCCAGCTCTCCCATCCAGAAAGTTTCAAAAAAAGCATAATGAAAAAAAGGGGCAGACTGATTTTCCCAAGTGAGTAGAAAGAGAGGTTGTGAGGGCCTCAGGGTGGGGACCCAACTCTGCACAGCAGGGAGGGACCTGGAGCCCGCCAGGCCCTGCTGGAGGACACAGGCTGAGTAAGAGGCACACTACCACCTCTGAGCCAAGCCAGCTTTCCTCAGCATGGGCCTGTTTCGCTGTTGCAAGTAAAAATCTTTCCACGCGTTTCCATCACAAACATCTGACAACTGTCTGCAGGGATGTATTTTTAGAGGAAACTTGGCAGGATATGAGTCATGCTCCTCCGGGAGTGCTGCTGGATGCCCTCCCACTAATACCCACACTGCAGTTCCCTTCTCTAGGGCTGTACCACAAACACAAACAAGATGCCTCTGGGACAGCGAAGGGTTCCATTGCATAGGGAAGTGGCATGACTTCCCAGCATCTGGACACTCTGGGTTGAGCAATCTTGGCTCCTGTGGTCCTTTAACAATGTTACCCCTAAGCTAGAGGACAGGCGAGCACCCTGAACACTCACAATACACATTAGTCCCTGGCAGGAGGGCAGGCAAGCCCAAGACACTTACCCACGGCCAGCATGCCCTGCTCCAGGTCCCCAGACATCTCCCGGCAGATGCTCTTCTCAATGTCCCGGCCTGTCATTCTCTGGTACTCATTGAAAACTAGGGGGATGACATAGAGAGGCTTATATTATGAACTGAAATGTGTCTCCCCGAAGTTCATATGTGGAAGTCCCAACTCCCAGGACCTCAGAATATAACCGTATTTGGAGACAAGATCTTTAAAGAGGTAATTAAGTTAAAACATGCTGCTAGGGTGTGCCCTGATCCAATCCGCCTGGCCTCCTTAGGAGAAGAGGAAGTTAGGAGACAGAGACCCCAGGGATGTGCGTCTGCAGAGGAAAGACCATGTGAACACAGTGAGAGCCACGAAGAGGCAGCAGGAAAAACCGGTGCCGCTCTTGGACATCCAGCCTTCAGAATGTAAGAAAATGAATGTCTGTTGCTTAAGCCACCCAGTCTGTGGTATTCTGTCATGGCAGCGTGAGCAGGCTAACAGAGGACTCACATGAGGTGACCTCTGCCCTAAGACCCCCTGCCTTCCACTCTGCTCCCTCACCCTGCATGGCCCCAGGCCTGCCCAGCTCTCAAGAAAGCCAGAGTCTTCATCACAAGTTATGTGTGCTGCCTAGTGTCCCTCCCTGTAGTCCCCTTCTCAGGACTGCCAATCTGTTTAACCAAATAACACCTTAATTCCCCTCCAGGGCTCACTCCCATTGCACCCCAACACAGTGTCCCCTCTTCTCAAATCCCCCACACCTCCAGTCTCTGCCATGCCTTGGCCTTATTCATGCATCTGTGTCTTCCTCAACCTGCCTGTGAGCTGAGGCCCAGCCTGCCCCAGACAGCCTGGCTTTTTGCTGCCCACCCCTGCCAGTCCAGCTCAACCTAGGACATGCTAAGCACCCACGGGAGTGGACGGCTGGCTCCTAAAGAGGCAGGCGGCATGATGGAGACCTGGGTCCTGAGTCCAGCTCTGACGCAGGACATAAAACTTTCCTTCCTCAGCCTGAGTGTCAGCTTCCATTTGCATACTAAAGTCATGATTTCTGCTCTATCTTTTTCGATTATTATCTCTTCAAATCAGCTCTGCAGTTCCAGAGCCACAGAAACCTTTGACAACCAACAGCTCTCTTACCTTCCACATCCAGCCCAGACCTCTCCTGACCTCCACGCACAGCAACCCAGAAGCCTCCCTGTAGCTCCACCCTACAAGCACCTAAAGCCAGCTCTACCTACAGCTCCCCTATCTCAATTGAGGGCCACTCCATTCTCCCACCGCTTGGCCTAAAGAAACCCTACATAATCCTCAACACCTCTCTGTCCCACATGCCACGTGTCCAATTCATCAGCAAACAGGGCTGGAACGTGATACCCCTCACCACAAGCCCCTGCCGCCACTGTTCCTCCCCTGGGCTCCTGCAGCAGCCTCCCAACAGGCTTCGCTGCTCAGCCATGCACCCTTCCCTCCATTCTCAGCACCGCAGCCAGGGATTCTGCACAGCCTCCTCTGCTCAGGGCCCTCCAGTGGCTTCCTGTTTTGCTCAGGATAAATACCCAATTCTGGGAAGTCATCAGCAGGGCCCTCTCTCCTCTCGCTCACTCCATCTGCTCCACACAGTCCCCCTTCACTTTCTCAGTCGTGCTGGGAGCCCCGGGCAGGCTCTGTGCCTGCATCTCCTTTAGGGTTTTAAATCAAATGTCATGACCTCAGTGAGGACTGGCCAAGCACCTCCCGGTGGATCCTACCGTCACTCCCTACTGGTTTCCAGCTTTATTTTCCTCTACAGGATTTATCATCTGATACAGATTTTATTTCATTGTTTACTGTCTGTCTCCCCAAATGAGAAGCTGCAGCCCATGGAACAGAGACTCTGCAGTGCCCTGCCCCTCATCGTGTCTCCACACCTGCTCCACTGCCTGACCTGACGGACTGGCCCACGGGGGAGCATGATTTACATTTGTTGAATGAATGAGTAAACGAATGGCACCCAGTATTACTGCCATGACTGTTTCTTATGCCAGGCCTTGAAAACACTGGATTGCGTGCTCCCAAAGGACTCTCGCGGCTCTAACATTCCACACTCCTGCGTACGAAGACACCAGGTTTCCACACCAAGTGGAACCTCCAGAACTGGATGCTTGCCAGAACTCAGGAAATCCTCTATCTTTTAAATCCCCCACAAGGGGCTCTTCTGAGGAGGCAAAAGCCCTACGCAGGGAGGAACCACCAAGTGTTCCCACAGCTTTGTCTCCCTGCAATGCCCTGACTGCCCTCATCTAACTGGCCCCAGAGGGACCTGGCCTGGCTTACCTGCCACCAGGTGGGACCGGCTCCGGGAGCACAGTACTGCATTGAACTTGGACTCATCTGTTCCCAGGCGGTTCTCCCCAGCCGCATACAGCTCCTGGAGAGAGAAGAAGATTCACAGGTGGCACAGGCCACACCCAGACCCCAGGCCCAGGTCACCCAGGAGAGCCTGGTAAACTTCTGAAGGTTTGAGCCTAAAGTATTTGCCAATTTGCAACCTCTGAACTAGACAGCCTCTAAAGTGCCTGCTAGGCCTCAGGTAGCAGCCCTGAAAAAAAGCAGAAAGCAGCAATCAGGGGCTGAGATCCCACAGGTCAAGATGAGACCATAGCCTGTCTGGACTGAGAAGGCAGAGCCCGAGACAATTTTCACCCCACTAGAAGTGGCATGCAAAACTCACTGGAGCAAGAGCCAGAGCTCCAGGGGTGTCCAGCCCTGAGTGCAGAATAAGAATGGATGTCACCAGCCAGAGAGACACTGAATACAGTAGACCCTGCAGGAGCAGCAGGTCTGAGCCTAGGGCAGAAGCAGGTGCTAACTGGGCACAGAGGACTGAGCCAGGGATGTCTGGGCTCTGCCTCTAGCTTTCAGTTGGGAACAGTGCTCAACCTTTTTGAGCCTCAGTTTCCTCATCTGGAAAGCAAAAGGACCAGACTAGAGGAGTAGCTCTCCACCAGCCCTAACAAGGGGGCATTCCTTCAGGTCTCGTTCCAATCCAGCAGGTGGTAGAGATAATCAGACTCCTGGCAGCTCCTGGTGAGTGTCCTGCCATGGGTGGTAAGTACAGTGAAGGGGGACAGAGAGGTATGGCCAACTCCACTGCACCAGGAAGTCACGGCTCTGCCCTGCCATACTATGGTCCAAATTCATTAGTGGAAAACCCAAACTTTTCTAGAGAGTAGCTCAAATGCCTGGACTCTTTCCCTTTTGTCTGCAACTAACAAGGGGGACAAGGACAGAATTCTAAGGCTGCTCAACTAATGTGGCAGCTGGTTTCCAGGCTCAAACCCTCAAAAACTTAACAAGCAAGGGCAAATTCTGCCCCTTTGCAAACATAATGGTATGCGCAACTAAACATGGGGAAGGTGTGCAGTCACATGAGATCCCACATCCAGAACCGGCATCTATCAACTACTGAAAAACTTACTCTCCCACATGTTCCCCACTCCAGGTGGGGAAACTGAAGCCCAGGCAGACAGGTGATCTGCTCCAGGTCACACAGCTGAGCAGTAGCCCAGCACGTCTGAAACTCGCAGCATATCTACTTTCTTTTTACCCTAGAGCACCTCTCTTAGGAAGCAAGAAAGCGGGGTACAGCCCTGCTTTAGAAAGCCCAGGGGCTTGGCCGCTACGCTCACCTGGGCATCTCTCTGGACCAGGGTCATGTCCACGTTTGTGCTTTCATCACGGTTTCCCTGAAAGGAAGCGAGTGTATAGTCAAGCCTACTTCTTCCTCATTTCTTTTCCCTCCCTTCATGCTGGGATCCTACCTCTTTGACCTCCATCGCTTGGGGGTCCCCAGCCCTGTCATGGGAAAAGTACCTGAGAGAGAGAGATGAGAAGCCGCTGGAAGTGCCCTGACGTGTCACTTCGAATGGCCTCTTCCAGTGTCTTTTTGAATTCTGAAAAGGAGAAGCAAGGAAGGTCTACTCTGTAGCTCTGTTTATGGAGCTGCCCATTGTAAACACTATCAATAGTGGGCACTGGGGAGAAAAAGGCTGGGGGTCTCGGGCTTGAGGGAACAAATAGCCCATATGGCCCTCCAGGGACATACAAGCCTGTGACCTCCAGGCTGACCTGGCCTCTAGTGAGCCTTGGCCCAAACCACATGCAGGTTTTCCCTGGCCCTCCCTTACTTTAGTCATCTGCACCACGTACAAACAGCGGGAAGGGCTGGGTCTTGGCTCAAAGCCCAATGTGTAGGGGGTGGCAGGAGATGGGGTGATAAAATGACCAGGAAGGAGTAAGAGGCCCTGGGAGAGAGTGAGGCCACAGCCCCGAGAGCACAGGGATCTGCAGAGGGCAGAGGGCAGAGGGAGCAGCCCCACCTGCTTTGTAGGCTCTGTTTAATTCCCGGATGTGCTCGTTGCTGCGGGAAGCAAGGATCTCAATCAGGCAGGCTTCATCAGTGCCGACCCCCTGCAGGGGCAGAGAACACAACCAACCGTGCGCTTGTTCCAGCAGCCTCACCAGCACCCGGGAAGGAGAGCAGGGGCCACGCTGCTGCCCTGACCCCAGGGACAAACCCCAGCAACAGAGGCCCCTGATGCAGAGACACACCCTCCAGCCACTCCCAGGCTTGAGGGAGTCAGCTCCTCTGCACAGCCCAGGCAAGCACAGTGACAGTTCAGTGGTGATAAGCAGGGCTCACACAAAGGGGCATCCACATGGATCAGAAAACTGAGTATCAGAGAGGGGTACTTCCTGGTCCAAGGCCACACAGTAAATGGGTAGGTTAAAATGTGGACCGAGGCCTGCTTTATTCAGGGTGCCGCCGGAAGTTAGATGACAACAACTGAAAAAAACGGGTAAAAAGTCAGAGAGATCCAAGTAGACACATGGAAAATCCAGTCCTAGAGCGGGTGGCGGAATGTCTGGAAACAACTAGGAAAAGGCAGGGACAACGAGGATGAATGGGACAACCATGGCAGGACAGTGAGAAGGCAGAGGACAGGCTGAGCAGCCTGGCTTGTATGTTAGTTTGAATCCTGGCCCTGCGGCTTACTAACTGTGTGACCTCGGGCACGTTACTTAACCTCTCTGTGCTTCCAATTCCTTGTCTGTAAGACGGAAGTGATACTGGGACCTACCTCCCAGGGAAGTCATGAGGATTAAGTGAGTTACTGTATGTAGAGCACTTAGGGCCTGTCAGGCAGGACGTGCGGCATTTTTTCAGCCGTTTCCCGCTGCAGCTACTGTTAGGTTACTACATGTTAGTACATGTTAGCCCCTCACCCAGTAGTCCCAGCATGTCCTGAGACAGCATCCACTGTCCCCATTTCACAGGTGCTCCAGGACACACAGCTGGTGAGTGACAGCTGCCCAAACCTGTGGTTTCTAACACTCCCCAATCACTAGCTCATGACTCGGGCTGAAGACGGGGACCAGGCAGATGTCTGGGAGCCACTCCCTGGGGCCCCAGGCCATCCCCCTACCCAGTCACCTCCTGACCCCCTCCCTAGAATAACACATGTAGATGTGTCTCAGTGGAGACCTCTCTCCTTTCCAGGCCACCACACTTAAGTCTCTGCTTCTCCTGGGGAGGGAACAATCACTGTGCTTATCAGGCCTCTGAGTGACAGGCTCCTCCTGGGCTCCTGCCTGACTCATTGGATTACCCTTCCAATGGAGCTGCTAGGCCCTACCCGCAGGGTGCACACAGAGCTGTGGGACTGCACAGAATGGACAGGACCCACCCCTCAGTCAAAACCCACAGGCCCTAAGGAAACAGTGAGCCCAAGCCGTGCCCATCTGAATCGGCCCCTGTTCTAGAGCTGGATCTCATAGGTATGTGGGGAGTGGTTGACAGGCACCCTCTACAAGCAGCCATGGCAGGAGAAGCACAGAAACGGACAGAAGAGCGGATGCTCAGGAGAAGCAGAGACCAGAGAGACATCTGGCCTGGCCCTCTCCATGCCAGGCAGCTTGGCTTTACCTACATAACTGATTTCCCACCTTCATTCTGCTTAAACTGAAGTGTGTTTCTGTCATTTGCTAGTAACAGAGTCCTAAAGATGAGAACGATACCAGCCATGGCCTCCTAACCCTCTTCTTATCAGAGTCACTACCTTTAAACCCCAGCTCCACCATTTCTTTAAGATGGAGAGAGACTTAAGGCTCCCTGATAATGATGGGTGCATCATTTGCCTCTTGGGGAAATCGAAGGGAGTTCCCCTTTCTACAGTACGCAGACTCCAACCCAGGAGGGCCTGGTAGTCATACTGACAGCAGCAGCTAATGAGTGGGCTAGAACACAGCGCACTGTCCAGGCCTCCTTCTGGGCTGTGTCCACACACATGAACACACGCACGCACATACACACATGTACACACCTTGATGGCTTCCTTTATCTCATAAACATCAAAGACGACTGGGGTCTTCATCAGAGCCAAGATTGTCTTCTCAAAGTTTCCTGACAGTTCAGATTTCAGATCTTTGATCAAATCCTGATTGGATATTTGAATTAAAAAAATAACCGAAAACAAGTCTATGTTTAAAATCCACAGGAGGTGACTAATAAGAGCCATATCCCAGATCCGAGGACCAGCAGCATGGACATCCCCCAGGGGCCCCAGACCTCCCAAATCGGAGACCACTTTTTACCAAGATGCCCAGGAGATCCGTGGCACATTGAAGTATGAGAGGCACTGGACTAGGACACAAATCTAATCAATAGTCACCCAATTTTTACCTTTCTAAGATTCAAAACCCCAGAAGTTCAAAATACACTCATACACACTCCCTGCACTTGGGCAGTACTCATGGCCTTTTCCTGCAAAGCTCTTGTAACAGCTAAACCTCCCAGGGTGATCATGAAGAGGGCAGGGGAGGGAAAATGATGTGGCCGCAACCTCAATGAGTTGTGGCAGAGCCAGGGCTAGACCCCAGGGCTAGACATCTGGAGCCTCTCAGCAAACTTCGGCACCCTGTGGACTCGTTTCTCCCTCAGGGCATCCCTCACCTCCAAATGCTGCCACCAGCTCGGTGGGCAGAAGGAAATACCCTCCTGCTCTTGTCCATCCGGGAGACTTGGGCCCACCCAAGGAAAAGCAGGGGTGAGCAGGGCTCTGCTGAGCCAAGGACACGCCTCACTGTCCCCTGCCCCCACCCCACAGCTCACCTTGCCATAAGCCGTCTTGAAGGACAGGATGATCTGCTGCCGTTGCTTGTTGGAGCGACTCCCCAGGCAGTCGATGATGGCCTGCTCATCCGTGCCTGGAGGAAGAGGCAACAGGGGTGGCTGGGGTGGGGGTCATGAAGATGTTCTGCAGCTGAGACTTCCCTGGCCTGCGTCCCTTAACTCTTCTGGGCCTCCCAGCTGCACCCCCATATCCACCTTCTCTTTTATCACCACTGAGGCCAGGGCTGCATCCCCTGGCTACCCCAGCCCACAGAGCCACTGTGAAACTGCCTGGGGAATGGGCAGCAGGGGTAGGATTTCAGCCACCCAGGGTCTCTCACCGAAGCCTTTCATGGCCTTCCGCAGCACCTCGGCATCTCGCAGGGGATCAAAGCCAGGAGCATCGGTGATGGTGCCTCGGTTTCCAAACTACTCAGACAAACAGTCACAGGTAGGATGACGTGCACGCCGCCTTCCCCAGATGCGAGACTGCTCCAGCCCAGACTCTGGGAACAGCCCTCTCTCTAAGAGTTGGGGTATCTGATGGTGCCCACAGTCAACAACGCAGAAGACTCTATGCTGAGTCTGCCTAACTCGACTGTTATCTGGCCTCCTGTTCTGGTACTGGAGCTTCTTCCTGGCTCCAGCGGCTGGGAGCCCACCTATAGCTGAGTCCTGACGCTGAAAATCTGCCCGGTACCCAGGTCCTCCAGGACTGGGGCTTAGACTCCTGAGGAAGGGCAGGCCTCAGGAGCAGGGGCTGTGGCCTCTCTCATCAATGCCTGGCCTCCACAGCACATGTGAGCACACATGGGTACTCCTAACAGGGCTGGCTAGCCCACATTTCCCCTCTGGTGGATGTAGGTGCCCAGCCTCCACAACTGTGCATGGCACCCCGACAACCTCTTGATCTAGCACTGGTTCCCTGGCACTGTGCTCTAGACTACCACCTCCAGACCCTGGCAGCTCCACAACCCAGCAAACTTGAACTGGAACTTTCCAGGCTAAACTGTCTCCCAGTGGACTGTCTTCCTAGGGGCTGGTACAAACTGGTTATAACACAATTATGGGAACAGCCCACGGAAAAGATAACGGAGGGAGTCTGGAGGATGGCGCGGGGTGGGGGAACATGTGGGTGTGGAAGGGAAGGAGGAAAGGAGACGCTCTGTCTAAAAACAGTCATCAAGCACGTAACCACTACCCCTGTGCTGGCTGGTTGGGCCATATAACCAAGACGATGAATTCTAGGTTCTGCAACCATGAACTGTTCTCCAAAATGAGTGAAGATCAACCCTGGAGAAACTGCCAACATTTTCCCTACCCAAAGGGAACTTTAAGAATCCTCCAAAACCTGTCTGTAGGGGTGAATATCAAGGGGACCGAAGATAGCTGTTGGGCACAAAGCCTTGAGATGTGTGGCCTGGGCAGTTCTTACAAAACACACAGCCTGGGAGAACGATCCAAGATGGCCGATCGCTAACATCCCGGGATTGCAGCTCTCAGGGAAGGCGCGGAGAACTAGAGGACGCCACACTTTCAGACAAAGTCTGGTCGCTCACAAAGCAGAAGATCCCCCAGTGGTGGAAACACACGAGTCGCCAGCGCGACTCTCGTGGTCAGCGCAGCGGTTCCGCCGGCACCTCGTCGCGGCAGCTCGGCGCAGAGTAAACGGGACAGGATCCCCTTCTGACCGAGGTTTGGAGCCCGGGGAAGGCAGAGTCGCTTACTATGGAAACAAGAAGGAAGCCCGACAGGAGAATCCTGGGCAGAAAACACCATCAGTTTTAAGCCGCTGCTCTGGCCCTGGGAACTAACAACCTGGACGTCCATTCAAGAGACCTAATCTGAAAGTTGGTAACTTCAAAGACGACAGGAGGATAAATTTACAATGACGGGAAGAAACCCGCGTAAAAAAGCTGAGAATACTCAAAGTCAGAACGCCTCTCCCTCTAAAGATGATCACAGTTCCACATCAACAATGGAACAAGGCTTGATGGAGAATGAGCGCCTCCTGATGACAGAATCACTCTTCAAGGAATGGATAATAACAAACTTTGGTGAGTTAAAAGAACATGTTGTAGCCCAACATAAAGAAACTAGGAACTTTGAAAAAAGGTTTGATGAAATCCTATTGAGAATAGACAACTTAGAGAGGAGTATGAGTGAATTAATGGAACTGAAGAATACAATACAGGAACTCCGAGAAGTATGCACAGGTTTAAACACTCGAATTGTTCAAGCAGAAGAAGGGATATCAGAGGTCAAAGTCCAACTTAATGAAATAAAAAATGAAGAAAAGATTAGAGAAAAAAGGATAAAAAGGAATGAGCAAAGTCTCCAAGAAATGTGGGACTATGTGAAAAGACCAAATTTACGTTTGATAGGTGTACCTGAATGCGACGGAGAGAATGAATCCAAGCTGGAAGATACCCTTCAGGATATTATTCAGGAAAATTTTCCTAAACTAGCAAAGCAGGTCAACATTCAACCCCAGGTAATACAGAGAACACCACAAAGATATTCCTCAAGAAGAGCAACCCCAAGACACATAATCGTTAGATTCACCAGGGTTGAAACGAAGGAGAAGATGCTAAGGGCAGCCAGAGAGAAAGGTCAGATTACCCACAAAAGCAAGCCTATCAGACTTACAGCAGATCTCTCGGCAGAAATGCTACAGGCCAGAAGAGAGTGGGGGCCAATATTCAACATCCTCAAAGAACAGAACCTTCAGCCCAGAATTTCATATCCAGCCAAACTAAGCTTCACAACTGAAGGAAAAATAAAATCTTTTATGAACAAGCAAGAACTCAGAGATTTTATTACCACCAGGCCTGCTTTACAAGAGCTTCTGAAAGAAGCATTACACACAGAAAGAAACAACCAGTATTAGCCTTTCTAAAAATACACCAAAAAGTAAAGAGCACTAACATAAAGAAGAATTTACACCAACAAATGGATAAAACAGCCAGTCAACATCAAATGGCAGTAACCCTAAATTTAAATTGACTGAATTCCCAATCAAAAGACACAGCCAAAACCCAACGGCATGTTACATCCAGACCTGTTTCACATGCAAGGATACACAAAGACTCAAAACAAAGGGATGGAGAAAGATTAACCAACCAAATGGAGAGCAAAAATAAATAATAAATAAATAAAAAGCAGGAGTTGCAATTCTCGTATCGGATAAAATAGATTTTAAAGCAACAAAGATATAGTGGTAAAAGGATCAATGCAACAACAAGAGCTAACGATCCTAACACCCAGATAGGAGACTTAGATTCAATGAGACAGAAAATTAATAAGGATATCAAGGACTCGAACTCAGATCCAGAACAAGTAAACTTAATAAATATTTATAGAGCTCTCCACTTCAAATACACAAAATATACATTCTTGTCAATACCACATCACACCTACCCATAAGTTTAAATGAAACATTGATTGACCATTATTAATACCCAATTTTTTTCAAAATAAAGCAGTATTTCCATTTACTCTCCCTCTTTCTCTTCCTCTTTCTTCCTCTCCTTTACTTATTTTTTTTTTCTTTCCTTCTCTCAAAAAAAAGAAATCAACTTGTAAACCTCTAGATCCAGGTTGGCAATGTCTCTTTCATTGCTTGATTTCTTTTCTTCCCTTCCTTCCCTCCCTCCCTCCGTCCCTCCCTCCCCACTTCCTCCCTTCCTTCCTTCCTTCATCCCTTCCTTCCTCCCTACCGTCCTTATTCCCTTCCTTCCTGCCTTCCTCCCCCTCCAAAAAAAAAAAAAACAAAACACACAGCCCAGACAGTAAATGACAGAGGAATGAGGAGCACTCGCCCGGGCGTTTTGACCCAACTCCCATGTGGAGTCTCTCATCATGCTGGGAGAAACGGGACAGCTCCCTCGGGCCTTAAGCAACACAACCCAGAGGTGGGGAGGTGGGGAGTCTGCGAGAAGGTGACGCTCTTTGTTTTTCTGTAATTTTTTTTTTTTTTTTTTGATACAGAGTCTCAGTCGGTCACCAGGCACCAGGCTGGAGTGCAGTGGCATGATCTCAGCTCACCACAACCTCCGCCTCCCAGATTCATGCAATTCTCCTGCCTCAGCCTCCTGAGTAGCTGGGACTACAGGTGCGTGCTACCATGCCCAGCTAATTTTTGTATTTTTAGTAGAGACGGGGTTTCACCATGTTGGCCAGGATGGTCTCGATCTCTTGACCTCGTAATCCACCCACCTCAGCCTCCCAAAATGCTGGGATTACAGGCATAAGCCACCTCGCCTGGCCTGTTTTCTGTTTTTTGTTTTTTTTTTAAAGACAGGGTCTTGCTCTGTTACCTAGGCTGGAGTGCAGTGGCATGATCTCGGTTCACTGCAACCTCTGTCTCCTGGGCTCAGGTGATCTTCCCACCTCAGCCGCCTGAGGCACACACCACCATGCCCAGCTAATTTTTTTCTATTTTTAGTAGATATGGGGTTTCACCATGTTACCCAGGTTGGTCTTGAACTCCTGGGCTCAAGCAGTCTGCCCACCTCAGCTTCCCAAAGTGTTGCGATAACAGGCATGAGCCACTGCACCCGGCCAACACTAAAAAAGAGGTTGCAGCTGGAGGCCTATGCCTTTCCCTGTCTCCCCATCTACTGGCCATGTGTCTCCAGCCTTTGGGCCCCAGGCCTGGACCGAGGGGGACAGTAGGCTGAGACTTACCTGGGTTGGGGGCACAGCGGGGGTGACGGTCCCAGACCCTGGGTATCCTGGGTAGCTTGGCACTGGCTGCTGCTGCTGCTGCCCAGGGAGTGGCATTGGAGGCTGACCAGGGTAGGTCGCTGGTGGCTGCCCAGGGTAGGCCCCTGGGGGCTGCTGTCCCGGGGGTGGCATGGGCTGGCCCGGCACAGGGGCCCCTGGGTATGGAGGATATGAGGGCATCCCAGAGGGTGGGTTTCCTCCTGGGGGTGGATACATCCCATAGGGAGGAACAGGCTGCTGGGCAGGAGGGGGTTGCCCAAAGCCCCCAGGGGGCACTGGTGGATAGCCAGCTCCAGGGGCCCCAGGGTATAGGTTGGGCATGTTGGCTCCTCCAAACGTCCCAGACATGTTGGCCGCCTGCAAGGACACAAAGCAGAGCCTGAGGCCACCGGGCCCTGCTGTACTCTGTCCCTCCACCCTTTTACATACTTTAGCCAAGTCAGTCCTCACAGCATCTCCACTTGCGGAATATGAAGTATCGTTATACCCACTTCAGAGACCATAGAATGAGTTTACTTGCTCAAAGCTACACAGTCAGTAAACAATGCAGCTGGATCCAAACCAGAGATCCTCACTCCCTTCTGCAGGGGAGGTGCCTTCCCTCTCCACATAGCTGTTCATCCCATCCCAGACCACCTGGGTGAAGGTTAAGAGCTCACTGCCCAAGAAGGTGCATGGGTCCCATATGCAGGCTTGGGGCATCCCCATCACGTCAATCTGCTACCTACAGACACCTCTGGCAGGCGTACTCAGGTGAATTTGTACTCGCCAGGAATAAAAGCCTAAATCCTTAGGATGGATGGCCTCCTACACCCTGCAAGAGCGGGACTCCCAGACTTCATTTCTCATCTCACACCCTCGCCTTTTCACTTTAGTCACACTGGCCTCTCCTCACTCTCCTCAAGCACCTCAGGCCCCCTGGCACCTCAGCGCACTGGTGTTGCCCAGACATCCATACAGCACTTCTTCCCCCTGCTGCAGGTCTTTGCTCAAACATCCTCTTTTCGGCAAGACCCACCCTACCGCCAACTTCAAATCATCATCCCTGCACCACCCCCACCCCGCCCCCACTGCTGACCCCTTTACCCTGCGCCTCTTGTTCCCATGGCACCTACACTTTCAGTAACCTCACATCACTGACTTAAGTTACTGCCTGCCTCTTCCCCATAGAAGATAAATGCAGCACGGCCGAGGTTTTTGTTTGTTTTGTTCACATATTCCCAGTGCCTAGATCTGGGCCTGGCACAAATTAGGGTGTGTATTGGTTACATCATTTCCTCTAAGCATCTGTTTTAGATCATAAAATGTATTATTTTAAAAGCAAAACAATACATTTAAAAAGCAGCATGTCTGCCCAAGGTACCTGCCACACACCCACCCAGGCCTAACCAGAAGAACCCTCCATATGTATACCTACATGCACATGCAGGTACATGAATGTGGATACTCATACCCAGCACATGCATGCACACTCATGCACACACCATCACCACGCTCCCAGCCCTAACCCCGAAGGGCTGAAAGGGGTCTTTGAGATCATCTGGTCCATTACACTCCCCTTCCCCTCATTTCACAGATTGGGAAAGTGAGACCCAGAGAGGGGCAGAGAGCAAGTGGCAGAAGCCTGGTGAAAACCCTGTTCTAAGGAGCAGCTCAACACACTGCACACCACAGCAACACACACGTAGACAACTCTGGAGCCCCGGAGGCCAGCAGTTTTGATTCCTCTGGCCCCAGGGCCACCTTGGCAGGAGGGCTAGACTCACCATTCCCGAGAGGTAGTCCGGGTTGAACTGCCCCGAATAGTTGGCCACGTTATCCAGCCCGATAGGTGGCATGCTGGGCGGAGGGTAGGCAGCACCTCCCCAGGCACCACCACCTGAAAGCAACACCAAGCTCTTTAGCCCCCTGCCGGTCCCCCACCACAAGGGGAAAGGCAGAGATTCGAGCTCCCAGGTGGTCAGGGAGGCCTAGCAAAGCCTCAAGCCTCAGGACACCACAGACCACATGAAAACACCAGGAGGAAAGCCTCCCCCCATCCCACTGGCAGAGGAGGGGAAACCTTCCCCTCTTCTCAAGGAGGAAGGTGGAGTTCCCCAAACACTCCCAAGACCCCCTGTAGAGTATTAAGGAGGTTGGGAGGGCCCAGGCAGGCTCTGCCCTCCCAAGTTCACCATCTTGGAGCCGGAGGACACACAAGGACAGACTGTTGTGGGACACCAGGCTGAGCCCATGACAGAGGTGACCACAGGGAGCTCTGAGATTTTAGTTACATGAAGGCATTGGTGGGAAGGGGTTTGGCTGTTTGCTATTATATGTCTGTAAAAGACAGGGAGAAGCAGGATAAGAGGCTGGAGGGAGATGACGCTGGGTCATGGGAACACATATACCAGTCTGCAAGAGGACAGGAGGAAACAGAGGCGAAAAGCCCCTCTGAAACCAGCAGGACCAGCACGTGCCCTGGGGCAGGGCTTTCACCCTCGCCCTTGTTAGGCTTGATTCCTCAGCTGACAAATGGGCTAATGAGGAGTGTACGGCTGGACTGCTGTGATGAGGACTGAGGTAACGCCTGTCTGGCTCAGCTGGGGGCCCGAGGGGCATTCATATATGACACTGTCACTGAGACTGGCATCATCATGTGGCCTCTGGCCTGTTAGATGCTTTCCTGTCCACGGGAGCTTCAGATCGGCTCTTCGGCTCTAGGGCTCCAGACCCTCCAGGAAGAACCTTCCCTAAATCTCCTGTCTCCTCCTCTCTTGCTGCTCAGAGGCTGCTCAGCTGTGCTAGCGAAGGTGGCAGTGGCAGGACCCAGTGGGCAGGATTTCTACTAGAGAGAGGGGACCAAGGTCAGTGCCAGCCAACCTGGGATGGGCTTGTTCAGAGGGCAGTGGCTCAGCTCAGCCCCTAACATGCTCTGGGACAGTGGCTGAGCCACCTCCCAGTCTGGGCCTGTTCATTACCTGCTGAATGAATGGTAGGGAAGGTAAATGGCCTGCAGGCCAGGGGTGCTCAAACCACAGGAACTCAGCTCCAAGGAAATGAATAATGCCTGGGGGTCCCCTGGGGTGAGGGGCAGCGGCTCAGGCACCCTCAGGATGACCAGCCTTGGAACAGCCCTTTTCTCCCTTTGGTTCTACAAACCCTCATATTTCCTTTCCCACTGTGGGGACCAAATCTCATTTGAGGAAAACCAAAAGGGGCCAGGGCCAGAGAAGATGACTTCTACGTGTGACTACCCACAGCTCCTGCAGCCACAGGGAGGGAGTGACCTTTGACCCTTAGCATCTGCCTCTACTTCCTCTCTTGGCGAGGGGGATCTCATTGCTGCAAGCCCACACACCTTGAGCAGAGAGTAGGAGAGGTGGCAATGGCAACCATCACCTAGCAATGCTTCGGAGGGCACCACATCAGAGGCTCTGCTGTCTATCTCATTGGTATGCAGAACCCCCCAATGAGGGAGAAATCCTTGAAGCAATTTTGCAGAGAAGAAAACGGAGTCTCAGAGTGATAGCATTTGCTCACTGTTACCAGTGACTAAGGCAAGAGACCCAGCCCTGGGCCTGGTCCAGGGTTTTCTGGAGCTAGTTTCAAACCCAGGCCTCCCATGGCTTCAGCATCACGCTCTTCTCCAGCTCCTGCCCCACTGGCTGTCCCTCACTCCGTTATCCTATCCTCCCCTCCCGTGCTGGGCTGGGCTGTGAGGGGAGAAGGGAGTGAGGGGAAGAGGGACTGAAGAAACTACTGTTCTCCCCTCCTACTCCCGGCCACTGTACAGAGGCAACATTCACTCTCCTCCCCACCCAGACCTTCTTACCTGGTGCCGCTGGCGGGTAGCCGCCTGGAGGCGGGGGATAGCCGGGGTAGCTCATGATAAGATCTGGAAGAGAAGAGGAAAGCACATTCAGGCTCTGCCTGGGAGCCCCTGCTGGCCTGTGGGAGCCATCTTCTCAAGGGAGCAGCCACCACCACAACCAGGACCCAGCAAGAGAAGCTGCTGCATCTGCCCTGCTTGTTGCAGAAGTTCACTGTCTCCTGCTGGCGCCTCCAGCTGGGAATAGTACCCACCAGCATACTGCCTGACTTCTGGGCCAGGGCCACACCCCCGGCCCCACCCACAGTGACAGAACTCACTGCCCAGAAGCCTGTTTCCTTGAAAGTCCCTCTCAGTGAAGCTTTGCTCCTGCCTCTGCTGACAAGGATGCAGTGCATCTCTGGGCCTGCTCTCCAGCCTCAGAGCTAGAGACACACTGCCTCATCCTCAGGGCTCCAGGTCTGTCTATTTATCTTCCTGTGTACTTATTGCCATCCCTCCAGCAACAGGGGAAGCCAGAGGCCTCTGTCTTCCTTCAGTTTCCAACCTTTGGTTCATCGGGCAAGGGGAGCTGGTAAGGTATGGAAGCTTCATTCCTAGAAGCAAGAGCCCTCAGGAAGTTCATCTGATGCAGGGTGGAGAACCAGGGAAAATGAGGCACCACCACCCTGTTTCTGCAGCGAAGGCTGCAGAAGTAAGTGATTTGCAGATCTGTTAGTAAAGAAAGAAGAGAGGCCTGGACAGGTGCCAGGTGAGACACCTGCTCTCATGGAGTCTCTCTGAACACAGATCCCTTGGCAATGCCCCATGCCAGCTAAACTGTGAGGAGGGATACAGATCTGCTGTGACAACAGCCACATTGTACAACCTGCCTGCTCTTGCAAATAGCAGCTGCTGCAGTTCGCAGAGACACCCAATGGCAAATGACAGGCGGGCATGTGAGGAAACCTGAGGCTCCCTCAACAATCACACCTGCTCGTCTCGGGTGAGCGGTTTCTTTTGACACACTGGGTCTCACGCTGCAGTGCACATCACAATCACCTGATGGGATCGTTAAAACACATTGCTGGGCTCCACCACCAAGAGTTTGTGAGACGGTAGAACCAGATTTTCATTCTGAACAAGTTTCCAGGTGATGTTACTGGTCCAGGGAACCCACTTTGAAGACCACTGTTCTGGCCATGCTATCCAACTACAAGATTCTAGCTGCCCTTCATATTTACCTTGAAAACTGGGCATGTTAGATTTTGTTTATTTTGAGACAGTGTCTCACTCTGTCACCCAGGCTGGAGTGCAGTGGCACAGTCATGGCTCACTGCAGCCTTGACCTCCTGGGCTCAGGTGATCCTTCCACCTTAGCCTCCTAAGGACATGTACCACCATACCCTGCTAATTTGGCGGAGGGGGGGGGGCGCGGCAAGAGTTTATTATGTTGGCCAGGCTGGTACATGCTATTTTTTTTTAATTTTTATTTTTCTGAGACAGGGCTTCACTCTGTAACCTAGGCTGGAGTGCAATGGTGTGATCTTGGCTCGCTGCAACCTCTGCTTCCCGGGTTCAAGTGACTCTCCTGCCTCAGCTTCCCAAGTAGCTGAGATTACATGCGCCTGCCACCATGCCTGGCTAATTTTTGTATTTTTAGTAGAGACAGATTTTTACCATGTTGGCCAGGCTGGTCTCAAACTCCTGACCTCAGGTGATTCACCTGCCTCAGCCTCCCAAAGTGTTAAGATTACAGGCATGAGCCACTGCACCCAGTCTATTTTTATGTTTTAGACAGGGTCTCATTCTATCACCCAGGCTGGAGTGCAGTGGTATGATCTCAGCTCACTGTAACCTCTGCCTCCTGGGTTCAAGTGATTCTCATGCCTCAGCCCCCTGAGTAGCTGGAACAACAGGTGGGCACAACCATGCCTGGCTAATTTTTGTATTTTTAGTAGAGATGAGGTTTCACCATGTTGGCCAGGCTGGTCTGAACTCCTGGCCTCAAGTGATCTGCCCACCTCGGCCTCATGCAATGATGGGATTGCAGGTATGAGCCACTGCACCCAGCCTACATGCTGTTTTTAAGGAAGCTAAAGAAATTCCTCAAGGTGCCACTGGTCCCCACAGAGTGGGCTTGGTTTTCAGCACTATGGGTGTGGTCATTTGTTTGAGTCAGTGGGTCCAGAGGTGACTGTAGGCAAAGCACTATGGCTTTGGAGAGAGCTGGAATTGGCTCCATGTAGTGTGGACCAAGCACCCAGTCCGTGCACAGCTTTCAGTCTCTTGGAGCCCCTAAGCTCTGTTCTGGATGAGGTAGATGAGGTCCCTGGTGGCATCGCCTTCAGAGAGGGTGTGACTCATGTCCCTATGGCTGGGTGAGCTGGCTGTCAGTAAAGAGCCCTCCCTGTCCTGGCCCCAGCCTGACCCTTCTGCCCAGACTCTGCCAAATCCTCAGACCTCACTGGTGGGGAGGCAACCTGGCAGATGTGAATGACCAGGGGGCTAGGAACCTTCTAACAGGAGGAACTGCCCCACAGGTGAGCAGGGAAAGCCAGGATGGTGTCTCTACCACCTTCCTCTCTGGAGACTCCACTAGGCAGGACCTCTAAGCACCAAAGACACTCTCCACTCCTGGCCTACTCCCAAAGGAATGAAGCCAAAAGCCCCATCCACAGCCAGGCCAGGGAAAAAATCCAAGAAACAAAAGCTGGATACCACCCTGTTCCTTACACCAAGTAAATTCCAGCCAGGCCAAAGATTTCAATGAAAGAAGTAGCCCCAAGAACCAAAGGTCTAAAATAAAATTTCAGCATAATAAGAAACAAATTAAAAAAAATAAAGATTAAAGAAAACTTGGGAAAAAAGTTGTATTAATATAATAAGAAAAAGATCAATAACCACTAGAGAAACTGTCAAATGATGTGAACAGATCTGGCAGTTATAGAAAAGGAGCTGAAGATGTTCACCCTCACCAACGTGTAAAGGAATCACCAATTAAAAATACACAGGCACAGTGGCTCATGCCTGTAATCCGGCACTTTGGGAGAAGGTGGGTGGATCACCTGAGGTCAGGAGTTCGAGACCAGCCGGGCCAACATGGTGAAACCCTGTCTCTACTAAAAATACCAAAATTAGCTGGGTGCTGTGGCAGGTGCCTGTAATCCCAGCTACTCAGGGGGCTGACGCAGGAGAATGGCTGGAACCTGGGAGGCAGAGGTTGCAGTGAGCCAAGATTGCATCACTGCACTGCAGCTTAGGTGACAGAGTGAGACTCCATCTCAAAAAAAAAAGGAAAAAAATTAAAAAATACAGAGATGTCAAAATTTAAAATGACACACCTTTTGACCCAGCAACTCTACTTCTAGAAGTGTCTTTCCCAGATACACAACTGTGTGAAATGTCATACAGACATGAATTTTACTACAACATTATCTGTAACAACTCCTAAACTTCCACCAATGAGGCTGGTTAAATAAACCACAACAGATCCAACATACTCTGTAGCTATTTCTGAAATTAGCCAGCTCTGTATATGGAAAGATACCACCATTATCAATCAAGGTACACTACTGTACATGTCCTAAGCTAATAAAAAACTCAGAAACATACAAACTAAGTGGTTCCTATGTGTATATCTGCACACACATCCTAGTAAATGACACACAAGAAACTAGCTACCACTAGCTGTCTCTGGAGAGGAAAGTTGGGGCTAGAAAATGAGGCTCCTGGTTTAGATCTGTGCCCTCTGCATTTCTGCCACATGCATGTATTGCCCATTAAAAAACAACTTTTAAAAAGGCCCAATTCAGGTGTGGACTTCTGAGCTCACTTGAGGCCACTCCTCTGGCCCCCAAAGTCCATCCTGGATGCTCTTCCAAGACTAAAAGAACACACACAGGGTCCATTCAGTTCCAGGCAGCCTTGGCAGACCTAGAGGGCCCGCAGGCAGCCTTGATGGCGCTCATGGGGCTCATTCCTGGGGTGGCTTTTAAGGGAGTTCCCAGCAGGAGTCGAAATCCACCTCCTGGCTAGGAGCTCTGCCCTGCAGGGTCCCACAAGGCAGGTTGACCCCACTGCGAGCTGCAGTCCTGCACCCCAGGTCTTTCCTTCTACCCAAGACACACTTTTAGTCCTCCCTTCTTAGAATAGCCTCATTTTTCCCTACCATTCTCTGCCTGAAATAGCTTCAAGTCTGCTCCCCACTCTTTTTTTGTTGTTTTTTTTGAGACAGAGTTTCACTGTGTCGCCCAGGCTGGAGTGCAGTGGTGCAATCTTGGCTCACTGCAACCTCCACCTCCTGGGTGCAAGCAATTCTCCTGCTGCAGCCGCCCAAGTAGCTGGGACTACAGGCACCTGCCACCACACTGGGCTGATTTTTGTATTTTTTAGTAAAGACAGGGTTTCATCATGATGGCCAGACTGGTCTTAAACTCCTGACCTCAGGTGATCTGCCTGCCTCAGCCTCCGAAAGTGTTGGGATTACAGGCATGAGCCACCACACCTGGCCTGCTCCCCACTCTTCTCTCTTTTGGTTTTTTTCCAGAACCAGATACCCCAGGTATGGTCTGCAGAGCACAGGGCAAGGCTGTCATCTCCCTCCAGTGGATGCTACTCCCCACCTCCCTGAACTGGTACACATGGTTTCCCAGGCCATGGAGACATCATGCGGGTTCCTGTGAAATTTCTCCCTTGGGTTCCGCCATTGCTCCAGTCTGCCGAGACCTTCTGGGATTCTGCCCAACATCAAACATTTTTCCCCTCTCTCAGCTTTGTTTTACATCCACAGATGCAATAAGCATGGTATTTGTGTTCTGCCAAGTAACCACAACAAAAAGGCCAATGAGGGACACTGCAGAACTGTCACACTCAGAACTCCCCAGTTCAACATCAAACACTAAGTGCCATGTGGATGCAGGCATTTAACCAGCTCTCTCCCAACTCACTCTTCCGCCACCCAGTACACATGCACAAGTGAGTGTTCTAGCACACCTCTCTGAAGAGGGCCTGTTTACCTGCCTAATTACCCCAGGAGAAAAGCACCATGTAGTCCAGTAGCCTGGGGTGACCTTCAGGTAGATAGA